GATTCCATTAATCTTGAAAAAAAAACTCCCCAACAGTTGTAAACCACAGAACCTGTTAAACCTACTTTACCCATCGTGATAAAAAAGCAAAATATGAGAAACCTCTCATCTGTGATAGTAAAACAAAAACCTAGCAACTGGCTGGGTTATGATAAGACAGACTATACTGTACAGAGACAACAAGTCGTGGGAAGACTGTAGAAAAGATAACACACTTGTATCAATGTAAATATGAACATGTACGAAGCATTCTACAGGATCAGAATTCGGCCCATTTCAGGTTTAATTTCAACTAGCTGAAGTGCCCGGCGTTGCCCGAGAAATTTTATATACACTTCGAAAAAAATCTAATTTTTAAGGGAAAAAATATACATTTTTTGGTGTCTTAAAATAATTTCATACAATTAAGCTCAAGCCGTTTTGCTAGCTATAGTTTATAAATATATATATAGGAGCGTAGAGCTTTATCATATTGATATTGAATTCCAATTTCTTCAAACTAATGCTTTTTGTAAATCATTTCATGATATAAGTTGTATGGTTGATGATTGAACTAAACTCACTGCAACAACATATTTTTTCCTCAAAGAATATTTAAATGAAATTGAGTCTAATTGCTACAACCTCAAATTTTCTAATCTTTTTTATTTTTGCAACCTGATGCTTTACACCTTTGTTATTTCCAAATTAGATTATTCGATTTAACAGAATTCATAGTTTGACATATCAAATGTCTATATGACAAATGTAGAGTATTTATTTATTAATTGCTTTTCCATTGAAAGTGATATTTTTAAAAGATTTCACTCTTACAGTTCATATCTCCATGGAGTAAACAAATTGATATTTAGCATGAATATGAAGATTTCATGCATAATAGTACTTGGATGAGAAGTGGTTTAGTTTGTTTAGACCAAGGTGTTTGTTTGGTTAGTGTAATGTTTATGTTTGGTACTAGAGCCACAGTTTACTTATACAGTGGTAACCAGAAAACAGTTACTGAATCGTCGTATTTTGTATTTCTTTCTTTAATGAATTCCTCCAGGAACTTTTGTAACTTACATTTTTATAAGAGTATGGTCTAGCGCCTCTTCTTCAATTTTTTATATTTAAAAAACAAAATAATGATATTTGTAAAATTTGTTCAAAATGGAAAGATTTATCTGTTAACAATTTTTAAAAAGAGCCAATTTTTTTGTCCTGAAGACACATTTTTTATAGCAAGATAGAAAGAGATTATACATCGCTTTAGAAACTGTTTGTATGTTTTTATGATCAAAACATCCACATAAAAATTTTATAATTATTTTTCTTTAATTGACACAATCATTTCACAAGATGAACTAAAAAGTTAAAATATCAATGTAACATTTCACAGAGTTCAAGCAAATATTTGACACAGAGTGACGATAATGTCGTCTTTTATCTCCAGCAAATCTATTTATCCTTGCATTATTTATTCATCATTTAATATTTACACTTCTATCCTGGCTCAAATCAATGAATGTTCTATTCTTGTATAAAATCCTTTTATCTTCTTCAATCATTATGGATTAAGGGCAGGGATAAAAATAGACATATTTCTGTCATTTTTCATTTTTTGCCAGCTGTACATTTAAATTAAACTTTTATCAATTTTTTCGATTGTTCATTTTTAAGTTTTAAAACAGTAAGACATTTTTCCTACCAAACAATTTAATTTTTTAAATTTTAAAGTTTTCATGAAATTTGCCAGTTACTTTTTTCGATTTTTTGAAGAAAATATCTGAACTGCGGACGAATTAAAAGAATTTGGGCCGAAGTTTAAATTCAAGCCGCGACTAAAATTTTGTTGGTTCTGTTAAATTTCAAGATTTAAGCCGGCGCTCAATTGGAACCGGTTTTTGGGGGATTTGAGACGCGGCTTAAATTCATTAAATTCGGACACTGGTTTTATTGGGAAGACTTGAAATAAACAATATTTGGGTTTTATCTTTAGTTTTTAGAATCCTGAACAATATCTCAAAAACTGTAAAAGATTCATGTCTGAAAATAGTTTTTTATACAAACCTCCGAGCGACTTATCAGAAAAAATTAACTTTCGCACTGTTCGACAATATAATGCTGGCCATTTATCTAATATTTCTGAAAATATTTTTTGAATTTGATATTCAGAATAATATTATTGAAATATTTAACAGATGAGTATTTTTCATAGTGTTGAAATGTTAGATGGGGATTAGTGGGTTCAATAGGCGGAGAGTAGGGGAGGGGTATGGGGAGTTCATTTACGAAAGGAGGGGGCCTTGATAAAATAACGTTTGGGGGGGGGGTATCCAAGTAAATGTGAGGTTAAACAAATCAAAATCAAGAAGGAGGCGAAGGCAGATAAAATGAGGATGAAGAAATTAGAAAGAAGAAGAAGAAATAATGACAAGTTTATTACGAACAATAGAGGAAAATAAACATAAAGGAATTATCTTTAAGACGTTTGGACATAATCAAATATATGATAAAAATTGCGCTACGTGCGATTTATAAGATCGACGATTTTAGATCCATCCCGCCCCCTTCACGCGTACTGAGCTGTCATTTAGACCTAAGCAAAAGTTTGTTTGATAAGCATTTGGTATAAGCATGTTCTTTTAAATTAATTTTTTTTTTTTTACAAAATTATCTGTTCTTCCTTTGTTTGGAATATTACTCCCTCGATATCCTTTCTACCTCAAAGAAACGTATCAGGAATAAAAGGTTTCAAAGCAAATATGCGCAAAACATTAAAATATTCCTGATTTAAATATGTGTAAATTCAGCGACGGTCAGGGTATAATTTTGTCTGTCTAGTCTGTCCTTAACATTTATAATCAGTTAGACCACACAGTAAGCTCTAGCTTTTTAGTCCAGTCCAGTACAATATATTTTGTGAAGGCGTGACGGTACAAGAAGGAAATCCACAAAACCTCGATCAGTGGCACACGCTTAAATAATCTTCGAAACCGTGCGGTTAAACGGTAATCAGACTCATTAAACGCATATTAATCTCTTAAATGTTTAAGGGCGTAATCTAGAGAGAAATGCCTTCTTCTAAATAATTTTAATCAAAGTACAAACAAGTTTTTGCGGACCTTTTTTTTATATTGTTTGCCCCTCTAAATTTAAATCAACTGACGCTTACTTTGCAGGTTCTAAAAAATTTAAAAAATTAAATTTTTAAAAGAAAACCGTGAAATGTATATTTTAAGAAACGAAGTCAAAAGAAATCTTCGTATGTGCATGCTAAATCAAAATATAATATCATTTAAAATTTTGCTTTTAAGTTTAGAGGTAGGGTTTTCCATATCATATTGTATCGTACATGCATATCTTTCCATTGGGATTTTCGGAACAAAACAGAAAATTTGAACAATGATTAAATCATGAAAAAGTGTCATAAAAAATTAAAAGGTTTTTAATTATTCCTTGTGTCTTTGATGGTTAAAGCTAGGAAATATAATCAAAAATCATATGGGACATTATATACAAAATACAGTGAAAACCAGAGAACTGTGGAATAAAAAGACGACATTGTTACAAAGCTAATATTTTCACTAGAAGTTTAAAAATCCTTTTTCAACGTGAAATACTTATTGCACTGCAATTAATTGCTCAATTTCTCATGTTCAATTTACTGTTTTAAATTAGAACTTAAAAGAATAAAATTCGTCTTCTTACCACAAATTGAGTGGTGCAGACGAAAATGCAGCAATTTCTATCAATTCTTTAATTCCCAGGCCTCGTTAATGTAAATAAATCTGTCCGATAGATATCCCCCCTTCCCCTACCCCCTGGCCCCCTGGTGGTCCCTTAGTTTAGAAATAAAACATATATTGACACCTACCCTGTTTACACTGTAATATTAAACACCTGTAAAAATATATATTTGATTGGAAACCCCCTATGCACCGTACAGTCCCATATATTTCCTTCAAATCCAAATCCAACTAAAAAAATTTAATATTAATTTCTCTTCTTATTTGGATAATTCTGCAATCCTTTTGAACCCAACTTTTACTTCTTAAAATTTTGGGTTTAATCAAATCAAGAAACATTGGGTTTTAACAAAGAAATATAGGCCCAAATCATTTTTAACCAAAACATTTCGAAAGCTATGTAAAATTAAATTTTCTAAAAATGTTCAATAATAATTCTACAATTTCGGATGAACCTTCGATTAAAATAGGATTTGGGACACTTCACATTTTATGCTACACCAAATGTATATTCAATTCTTAGAGTGTATATCTATGAAACGCCCAACAAAAAATTTACATTTTTAAATTTTGCTCTCAGCTTTATTTGTCAAAATAAAACAAAACAAAAAGTCATGCGGATCTCTTCAGAAATGACATGCTTCGTGTTTTCAAGTTCTAGGGCGTTTTAAAGCACTAATACTATGTTTTCTGCTTCTTATCAATCATATTTTCCCCAAAATTTCTTTAACTTTTAATTTCGATTTTCAACTTTAAACTTATATATATCAAGTGTGTCTAAGTGTGCTGGGTTTAAGCTGGCTTTGTCACTCTGTCTCTGAAGAATTGAAACCTTTAAACTAATAGACAATAAATCTTGCAGAATCTCTCTGTAAAATATATAGAGAACGATTTTTCAGGATCGTATATGTTATTTGGAAGGAAGGAGGGGGAGAGGGGGATTTTAATAAGATTAGGCTAACTTCCATCTATACAAATAATGAAAATAAATTTGTTTTCTACATTCCTAAAACTTGGTCTTTTTGTTTGCGTCCTTAGTTGGCCTGTACGGGGAGAGGGATCGGTTCCCAGTCCGGGGGGCTCTTTTAGATTGATTTATTTACCCAAGGCTTGGCAGGCTAGGATAAAAGGAGTGAAAGGCAAGAAATTCTGCTCTTGAATCATGGAAAGGGAGCTGGAGAGTGGGATGAGGATCGGGGAGTAAAAGAGAAACAGGAGGGTTGAAAAAATTGAGAAATGACAATTAAGATAGACAAGTAAATAATATTATTATTATAGATTTTTCAAGAAACGAGAATGCTCCTTAGTAACAGCATCTAGTAGCAGGATAGGATCATTGTCAAATCTTTGAATAGTTTCTTTATATTCAGCTTCTAGATCGGCTGTCATATTCTCAGTCCATTGCATTTTACTATCTAAAGTAATTATACAATATACTTATATTAAACTAAAGTGTAAATTGGCGCACACTCAAATTTTGTAATCACTATATCTTTATAACCTGATGGTGTAAACTTGTAAAATTTCAAGCTTAAATTATTTGGTTTGACGAAATTCATAGATTGAAATATCAGAGTTTCTAGCAAAAGTCAGTTCCTTTCCTTTGCTTTTTAAACTCTTATATTATCATGAACAAAATTTTCCAACACCTTTGCCATAAATATTCACAATATGAAGCTGAGAATATTTCAAAGAGTTGGTTTCGGAAAATGAATTTCCATAAAAAAAAACTCTTTGGTCACATTTAAATACATTTTTTGAGTGTTTCCCATCTGAAAAACCATTATTCAATTTCATCATAATTAGAATTATTTCTAATGTTATCGCAAAAAAAGTAATTACAATATAAAATATTACCTATTGAAATGTAGAGATAATTTGTTAGATAGGACAAAAGCTGTACACTCACATTATTTTCTTGGGCCTTTATCAACACACTTTTTATAATATTTTTAGATTTAAAACCTTCAGAGTCTCAAAAATAATTGTTGAACCTTCATTTCATTTTGAAAAAGAAACTTTGAAAAATTAATCAAACCGTCTATTTGTATCTGTATCTGTATCTGTATCTGTATCTGCATCTGTATCTGTATCTGTTGCTGTATCTGTATCGCTGCATCCGTATCTGTATCTGTATCTGTATCTGTATCTGTATCTGTATAGCTGTATCTGTATCTGTATCTGTATCTGTATCTGTATTTGCCATTTGTCATTTGAGTATNATCTGGATCTGGATCTGGATCTGGATCTGGATCTGGATCTGGATCTGAATCTGGATCTGGATATTTATCTGTGTCTGAATCTGGATATTTATCTATGTTTGAAGCTTGACCTGTATCTGTAAATGTATTTGTACATGGGTTTGGTTCTGTCATCTAGATCTTGATCGGAATCTGGATTTTGATCTGGAACTATCAACTGAATCTGTATCTGTATATGTATATGTATCTTTATCTGTATTTGAATCTTGTCCGTCAGTATCTGGATTTGTATTTGCATTAGTATCTGGATCTGGATTCGGATTTGTTCCTTTATCAGTATCTGTATCTGTGTCTGCATCTGCATCTGCATCTGTATCTTTATCTGTAATCTTTATCTGTTTCTAATTGAATTTAAAAAACAAAGTCTTTTATTGCCAATATGTTTTTGACTAACCATTTATACATATTTGCTGTTGCAGTTTGCATGTTTGAATACAACAAAACGGGTAAACCAATTTGGTCGAACAAAGAAATTGAGTATTTGCCACTAACTAAAGTTTGCTAAAATCTACATCTTTGCAACGTGATGGTGTAAACCTTTGATAGATTATTTAATTTAACTGTAACAAAAAAGTCCATTCTTTAGTTTACTTAAAAATTTAACCTGAAAGAGAATACTGTAAAGTGTTATTTTTCCTTGTGAATATTGAATGGATTGGGATCACAAAGTATAAAATCCGGGAAAGGTATTCCAGTAATAGGATTTCCTTGAACAATCTCGAACTGAGATGTTTGGGTGGGAGATGTTCTCTGCTTCTAAATAAAGAGAAAAAAATTTAAATATTTCAATTTTCTCTTTATCGAGATTCAGATTATATTTTGTCCCGTATACATATTTTGATATAAAATATGTATTTTTAGATGAACATATATTTTTATGAAACTATTTTGTATGGTATTATTCATACAAGCTTTATGGTAAATATGTTTAATATAGCACTGTGCTTAATTGTTTAATTGGTTCCAAAAAATGCCGGATCTTTCTAAATTAATTTTTCAATTGGATTTGAATAAAATTAGAATTATCTTTTATTTATGTTTCTGCTTTGTCAATAAAACTTCATCTAGAAATATTTATTGCATCAAAGACCGAATTTAAAGAATTTGAGCCGCGTTTTAAATTTAAGCCGTGGCTCAATTTTTGGTGGTTTTACTTAAATTTGTATTAAATTTTTCAAGATTTAAGCCGGCGCTCAATTGAAACTGGTTTTGGGGGGATTTGAGAGGCGGCTTAAATTCATTAAATTCGGACACAAGACATGTACACAAACATTAAAAATTTGACTTATATATATATAATCCTCTACATAATATCATTCATTTCTGGCTCAATATATAATTACATTGCATGTCTTGAAGAAAAACTTGATCTTTATAAATAAAAGAAATTAGTTCTGAGCTGAAAACTTTAGAAATAGATATCCTTAATCCCGATCGCTTAATCTGATTATCCAATGTACACACTTTTGATTTTCTTCTTAATCCTCTTTTTGGATATTTCTACTGTATAAAAGTTACGTTTGATAACAATTACAGATACATTAATGCTATTTCGACTGTAATGATATCCGAAATAATTAAAGTCAGCCGTTCACAAGCCGACTTTTAGAGCCTTTAAACAAATATAAATATGATATGAAATTATTAAAAAACATATTTTATGACTTTTGTCATCTTGAACGTTAGTCTTTATAAACTTACGTTCGTTCAATCGATGTTTAGTTCAATTGATATGACACCATCAACACCAGAAATCAAAACCGGTTTTTAAAAGTTAAAGAGTACATCTATAACATGACAAGCTGATAACAATCTGGTTGGTTAAATTTTAAACTTCTTTCTTGGATATATAATCTTGGGTTTAGTAAAACCAGGATTTTAAGCATTAATCTTGATATCCACCATTCTAAAATTTTCAGCTCTGATCACACTATTTGATTGAATTTGATCCACATTTTATTTGTTCTCCTGATTAATACACAAATACAGCAGTTTTGCAAATGGACGCGTTTATGTATCGTTCATTAACATTTCCATTTCGTTTGTTTTTTCCAGTCGTTTAGAAAAAAATTTAATTCGTTCGTTTTCAAAATTACTGTTAATTTTCTATCTATTTACTAACTGAACGACCGCTCAATCAAATCGTTAGTACAGTAAGATCGTTTGTTCAGTGCAGAAATAGTTCGTTTAATAAAAGAAATGATAGTTTTTTTGTTTGAAAAAATCTTTCGTTTAGTTACAAACGATAGTATTTTTTTTCAAAAGTTTGTTTGCCAAAAATTCGTTGGTTCAGTATAACAACCCAATAATTTTTGAAGATCGTTAGAAATCGTTCATTAACGGGTTGACAGAATAAAACGCTCATTTTAAAATTTCTTTAAACGATAAAATTCGTTTGTTCATCCTTCGTTAATTTTTCTGAAAGACACAATCATTCACGAAGAATGTAGTTTGATCACCATTACAATCGGTGATTCCCGTGAGAAATTTTTAACATAATATGTATCACATTTTGTTACTGCAAGCTAGACAGAATGTTTGCGACATATCTTACACGACTTTGTGACCTCGTAGTTTTCTCAGTTTCGATGTTACGCACATGTATGAGAAAATCAGATTTATCCGGTTGCATCATAGAATTTAAAAACATTTGTGGTCTTCTATAGAGTTTATCAATAAATGAAGATGATAAAAAACATGAAATATTAAGAAATATTCAATATGAAAGATTCCAATATTAAGTCCAATTTGCTTTAGTTTAATGTGATGAATCAGAATATTCACAACTTGCCTCGAAAAGATTCCAAGACATGACTATGGCGGTTGTTGTGAGTGAAGTGGCCAAAATAAACCAGAATATTTGTTCCCATTTAGTTCTGGAATCTACTGACCAATGGAACCCATGTGCTGAGGTTGTGCTCACAAAATTACGGAGAATGCTATGGCCAAAGATTAAGAATAAGTCTCTAATGTAAAAATAGATTTATGAAAATGTTGAATTTGATAAATTTTTTGATAAATTTTAAAATGTATTCCAGCTTTTCTCTTTATCACAAACATATTTTTTTTTACACAATTAAGGTTTTTTTTATAACAACAAAAAATAGGCTTCACAGAAAATTTGAGATTTTTGTCAAAATTTTATTTATGAAGCATAAATAAAATTACTATTTTTACTATAAAAAAATAGTAAAATTTGTAACAAAATAAATTAAGCAAATTTATATAAAATACCATTTTAAAAAAGGGTTTATAATTTCAATTCGTGTAAAAAAAAACTAGAAAATGTGCAAATTTATTTTCAGGGAGGCTAAGCAACATAAAAATTAAAAACTTTTCTTAAGGACTGGGTCATTTTAAAACTATTTTTTTTGTGGGGGGAGCATTTTAATTGTTAGAAGTGGGAAGTTTATGAAAAAAATTACATCCTCAAGGTTTATACTTTTAAAAGTTAAATGCAGAAAATGCAGGAGGGATGGGTGGGGGGGGG